TTTATGACCTACATCCACCATCTAAATTCTACTGGTAGTTAATAGATCAGAAAATCCGATACCCCTAGATATTCAGTAAAATTCCTAAGAGTAACGAGATTGAACAATAAAAAAAATTACGACAATGAAACAAAAACAGTGTCCCCTGGCGAGCGGCAATTTTGCATCGAGATCGATCGCCGAAGGGCACCGTGGAGGAGGGACCGGTGAGCGATGTCGCATTAGGGAGTTTGCATGGGGTCAACATAAGCCGTTTCCGATAAGGCCCCCTGGCGATGCCTACTTCGAACTTTCGGCATTTCGGCTCAATACCCGCTTATCTGCGTGCCACACTCGCAGACTCGCCACTCGTCTGCAGCACACGTGAACTGAATAATGCATCCGTCGCTCACCGCTCACTCCCCAATTGAAACCATATTTATATTTCTATAACTTTCAGTGTATTATTCGTACCTGTATAAATAAAATATCAGAAATATGGAGAATGGTAGGTAATTATTTATTTATTTAAAACGTAATGCTTAGTATCAATGGCGAACTTAACACCAGTGAGTTGTGATATTCAAAATCAGATTTTTAAATAGATGCCTAAATGCATATTTAAAATCAAAGTGTCGTTTAGAAAAATATTAATACACATAATACACGTATATTCGTATTTTGAGATGGAGCAATTTATTTTCCGCGAAGATTCCGAAGGATTGTTATTGGATCCTTCTTTCAATTTTCCTATTTATTACATTACTCACAATACGATTACTTCGGAAACAAAACTACTTTAATTGGTCAAACATAACATTTATAATTTAATATATTTATATTTCTAAAAAATCTTCTTTGCTACAGTAGGTACCCATAAATAAAAAAATAAAAAAAAAATTTGAGACAAACAACGGAATTTAAAACATAACATTGACCATTTAAATTAAACGAAGATCATTATGATGTCGGAATAAACTTATCTTAACAAATACACGGATATTGTTTTATTTTATATACATAGATACATATGTAGTAAATTATTAAAGACTTGTGAATAGTGCATACTTATTCACAAATGTTATATTGTAGGTGCTCGCTAAATATCATAGACTTAGTATAACGTACTACGTACTAACTAAATATAATTCAATACCTAGTGGTAGAAAAAGAAAAAACAAAATAGAAATTTTGCTCGAATTTTCTTCCAGAAATCCTATAGTAGAAAAAATTATTAATGAAAAAAAAAATTATAACTAGATAAAGAATATTTCAAATCTTTTTTTTTTAATTTAAAATATATACTTTCATTTGGTAATATTATTATCTGTACCTATACGCAGATAGGTATGCTTACGAATTAATAAATAATTAATGCAATACCAAAAAATAAAGCTTATACTTCAATTTATCCATCGATAACCAAATGACAAATGTAATCACCGAATACCTAGATTAAGAAATTTATGTAGACAAAAGTGTGCGCATTATCCGCCATTAGGTACGATGCAGGCCCAACAACGACACGAATCGATTACGAGCAAAAAGAATCTTAACGCCACCACTGCGGCAAGATTGAGATCTTGCGAGGGCCACGTCCACTCGTATCCTCTCTCCGCATGATAAATATCCATCTTCCCGCTTTTTACGCGACGAGGGTGTCACGCAAAAAAATGAATAAGGAAATTTACCTAATGGCCGCGATTCTTTACTTTCCATGTCTATTGTCGCACGGACAATGCTATAATGGAGGGATGACGTGAGCACGCACATGCTTTTATTTTATTCTTTCCCGTTTGATATGTTACTAGTCTTCTGTCCTTTATGTGCCTACATACAATACCTACAACGTTAAGTAACTTTTTGTGTAAACGCAATACTTATTTATTGTACTTAATAAATATTTATATTTGTAAAATAATGACAGATTCAAATGAAAAATTGATTTACTTACCTCTATGAATTAGATTACAGATGATAGATTAACTAAGATTAATTATTCTAACATAGGTAGGTGCATACATACAGTGGTTTCTGTCTCAAAATCGTGTTTAAGGTCTACAAAATAATTGAGTCATATTGTAAAAACAGAACCTTCCAAGTGAAAGAAGGTAGTTCTACTTTTACATAGCAGAAATACCCAAGGATTCCAAGCTTGATCCTGTGCTATATACAAATTTCATTAGATCTTCCAGAAACCCAAGAAACAACTTTCATAGATTATATTGTAAAATATCTTATGTAGTTAAACAGTCGACTGTTATGGACTAAACACATCCAATTAAAGAGAGACAAAATAAGCTTCAAGTATTAGGAAATACAATGGCTAATTGACAGAAAGTTAAATTTCATTTCAATGTCATAACGAAGTACAACCTGAATATTAATAACATAGTCATCTATGGTATACTGCACACTGTATGGGTGTCGAATATTATAACTCTTGGTATATCTCACGTGAAGGAAAGACGATTATTAGTAACTAGCTTTTGCCCCTTCATACGTATGAATTTAAGAAATACGAAATTAAATAATTTTGTACACTTCTCGATGGGATATCAAAATAAAACATACATCAGTCTTTAAGTGAGACCATCAGGAGCACAACTTTGAAAACCGCATCCAATTTGATACAGTAGTTTTTGTGTAATATCAGAACAAACTGAGACAGACTGAGAGACAAAATTTCTAAAAATTATTGTTTTGGCATCTATTGCTGTCATTAAACCCGTTATTATAGTTTTTCTTACATGTATCTCAGTATAGATGTCGTTATAATTTTATTATATTAGTAATATAAGGACTAGCGCCCTATTATAAACAATATATCTATTCTGAAGTCCACGATCAAACAGTCAAACCTGGAAACCGCACATTGAAATCTCCTTGATGAGCCTGCCCTCTAGATAAAGTACAAACAATTATCTCAATGGGAGGGAAGGGATTATTAGTAATGGGGACTACCAGTCCCATTGCTAGCAATATACCCTATTAAGTCGACCTCCCCGTGATTCCTCCTGGAAACCATGGTGTTGAATGCCAAGTGTATCCATCACGATGGGCTGATTGTCCTGCCTTTTCATTCTCACTTATCATCCATCACTGGTGCTCCGCCAGCGTATACCGTTAGCGCAGGCGATGTTACCATTCCATGATCATCCACTAAAAAAATCTCAATAGAATCGCTACGGTTAGGGAAAAATAATAAAACAGCACATGTGGCCATCTCATTCTATCCCATAGACTAGCCAGACATAACGATTCTATCAGCAGATTCGTTTATATATTGTCTGGGAAGCCTGGGCTTCATCCTCTTTTTCCCAGATTTTTACTCTACTGCTGTTGGGCGCAAATGGTCTTTACAGTTTCACCGTACGCGTGAGGAGATAGGCGCAAAGAACACTCCAAGTTGATAGAAAGCCACAGAAGGTTGACTCTTGCCGATGTTACGACTTCTTCCTCATCTATTAGTTGGCAGCTTTATTTAATATTGAATTTTAAAAAGAGGTCAAAAGATCTACAAAGAAAAGTATCAAATATTATTTGAATTAAATGTTTTATTTTGTCACAAGCCACGGGATGCCATCTGCCGAGCCCATAGTTAACTGTATAGATTACATAAACGTACGTAATCCTGCACTTAAATTAATACGGTATTAGAAACATCTTTCAAGAAAAACATGATGGATACCAGACATTTTTTGTAATGTGGTCAATAAAGAATAAATAAATAAAATAAATGGGTAACAATGCGTATGTGATACAATTGACACTGTAAGCATAATAAGAACTTTGGTTACGAATTAATAGCAGCCGAGTCGTATGCATGTCTACCATTAAAAGACCACTTAATAGCTTATATGTAAGCAACTTTAAAATCTAAATTTTAATTGAAACTTAAGTATGAATAATGTATGAGTTTTTTTACAGCATTAGTGTTTACGAAACATTAATGCAGTTAATTTAGATTTAATTAAGCCTAATTAAGACACCTAATTAATATTGTAATGCCATTGCACTAGGAAGATCAGTGAAATACACTACTACCAGATGGTGTATCAAGATTCACAAGTTTTTAAGTTGGACTTTAAGGAATGCAACTGTAAAAGCTGCATCTATTAAATCTGCATCTGCTAAAACAAACATACGGACAAAGGAAGTTTCTAAAAATACTTAGTTTTGGCTTCTATTTATCTTTTTATGACTGCTCATATCTATTTTTCTTAAATGTCTTTTCTGTATAGACATTGTCTGTTGTATTAGTAATATAGGTACTTAGGTATTTTGTTACTATATTGTAAATTAATAAAGATATATATGTACTTAAATAATACACTTATAGTTATTAAATCTATTGTATATAAGTATGAATAATTTTGTCTTGATTTTTTTCTTCAATTTAAAAAGTTTAATAAGTACCCATTTACTTAGGTACATTATAATATTACTGAAATAATAATTGCTCCATCAATAGTCTTCGATCTGGTCATTATCCATCAAAAAATTTGCACATATGATGGGAAAGTCCTTGTCACTCCATTGTCAAACTTGTGATACCATTGATGATGTGCATCATATTCTATTATTAAAGTGTCATATTACCACGAAAGAAAAAGAAGAATTCATGCGCCATATTAACTTAAATAAATTTAATGTTGGTCTTATTCAATCTATGTTAGCTGAACTTAAACCAGAAATTTTTTAACATCTCTGTAAATTATTGATGCCCATTAATTCTTCTCTATCCGCATCTAGGGAAAGTAGATAAAGTTTTGTTTGAGAAATCAGTTCAGGGTATGATAGGACTAATATACCTGAAGAAGCCCTTAAAATAATAAAAAAAAAATTCATATACATATGCAAATAAATAATAATTTATGTGCCACACAGCCACAATGACCAGTATAATGAAATTAAAATAATTTTGTAGCCATAAATTACCTACCTTCAAGTTCTTACTTAATAGAAAACTTAACAAGAATTATTAATTATTATTCTTATTAATTATTTATTATATTCACCTGCTAAAATTATATAATACACAATCCAACAGCAATCCATAAATGTAGCACTAACCCAGTTTTTTCTGTTAAATAAACTCAGCATTTTATCAATACAAAATACCACTGTGAATTCCAATACTATTATAAAAATGACATGAATATTCATAATTGGAATGTTAACACTTCCACATGTCACTCGCTGTTTGTTGATATTCAAATGGGAATCAAGTGGATCCATTCAATTACAACGTAACACTGCCGGGGCATAGTGGACACCCACCGAGCAGCGGTAGCGGTGCACTCCGGACGAATAAATTCAAAAATTCAGAATCCCTACATTGCTATTGGATAACCAAACCCACACCCTTTTGCGCGTGTGCTAAAAAATGAAAGGGTTAAACAACTTACCCCTTTTTTATAGCACCCTACATTTTGCATCTCTTTCCTCACCCTTTTCTATTACCTGAAGTTATAAAAACATGATAGAATATATTATGAGGACTAAAAAATACAATGTTTGAAGCAATATTTATCAGCAAAATTTTTATTATATAAATAATATAAAATAAGTAAAATAATAGATTCTTAAATTTTCACTACACTTGAAATATTTAATTGGTGGAGGAAATAAAAAGACAGGTATTTGTTTATAAATCTTGTTTCGAACAACGTCGACAGTCACAGAAAATAACGAATTAAAAAAAAAATATTAGAAAAGAATAAAAAGAATTATAAAACATAATATAAAATTAGCGTAAAATTTTGTTGTGCGATTCAAACGTCAAAACAACTCAAAATAGGGTTGCTAACTATTAAAAATATTTACCGTTAAATATGTCTCGAAATACCTTAAAATCTTTATAATCAATTGCAAAAATCTGTATAAAATTAAAAAAGAACCTTAAAATATTAGCATAGATATATTCAATGGTGGGCTAGGTGGCATGTGCTTATCCCACAATAGTGTGGTGCCCACCCTAGGACATGAGCAGAGCTTTCAACTATGCTTAAAGTCAACGAACAAATTACATATTTTTTATGGTGACAAGCTACTCCAAAAATAATTTATATATATATCAATGGATACCTATTAGTACAACAATTATTATTATATAATAATACTAGCTATTATTACTATATCGATTTGACTATTTGTTGGTAGTTTGATATGAAAATTCAACCTACCACCAACCAACAGTTAATAGAGAAAAAAATATTTTGTACTATATTGTCTGTATGTCATTTAAGAACCACTAGAACTCTGTTGTTTACGCATAGAAGTATATGTATGAATTATTTTTAGTAAATATTTTCACACAAACGTGCTTTTACACAAAAATAAAAAAAAATGTTACATCTTTTCTCATCTAAGAGGTGAAATTTTCTAAAACCAAAATTACTTGTTTTTGTAAAAATATAAAATTTTATGCTTCTGACTCTGAAATTGATGGATTTCCGTGTAACCGTTCATTCTTTATCAGCTCTATCCAAACATCCTTTTTTTGTGGCCAGTTTATATTAAATTTAATTTTTAGCCTTGTGGTTTAGTATTGATAAGGGAGTCAGAACAACGATTTTATATTTATAGATTTTATTATAATTATAATTAAAGCTCGAAGAATAAAAAATGGCAAACAAACAAAAAAAATTTTCTTTTCAAACATGTTATAAACAAGACTTCACTAATAAATGACAATACGCGAAATATTTGCAATATGCAAAAGAATAATCAAACTACATGTTACTAACACGTAGTTTGGCGTGTTACTAAATATCCCTCTGTATTTAGGGGAATATCTTTAAGCTGGAAACCCTGCTACGTTTCATTATTCATATTTATTCGCACTTTTAAATTCATGCAATAGAATTAAGTTATATGTACATATAACTGCATAACTTTGTCATATTTTTATTAAAATATACTATTATTATAATTATTCAAAATTACCTCAGTTTTTATAAGTCATAATATAAGTTTTTTTCTTTTAAACAACGAAATTTATAAATAGTCTAAACTGGGAAAAGTGAACTACGTGAAATGGAATGGTTAAGTTTTATTCCATTATAGTGATCTATAGGATAATTACGTCAAATTTATAACAACACCTGTTTAGTACGTAGTTACAATAGTGTCAAAGTGTATACTTAAAAAAATAACAGATAGATATACATATTGGAATAAAATTACTTTAATAATTTTATTAATTTTTGTGTTTTTAGTTTTTTGTAAAGAGATCTAGAATAATCAATAAAATTACAAATAACGATGACTCTGTATCATTTTGGAAACTGTCTAGCATTAGTATATGCCCCTTATCATATGGCTTATAAAATTTCTGGAATGTAAGACCAAAGACTATTCAAATAGGTTATGTTTATCCTGACAAGACCTATAAATATTATTTTTATATTTCAGTTCTGAGTATGCAACATTTTCAAAATGTGTTTATGCTGGAGGTTTATATATTTTCACACAATTATGCAAAATGCTCCTGTTAGCTACATTCTTCCCGGACTCTGATGTTAACCAAGTTAATGGCGAATACAATGCATTTCTGGTAAGTTCATTTGCATAAATTCTACACTAATGTATGAAGTGTATCAATAAATATACTGGAAGCTATTTCTACATAATATGCAATATAAAATCTGTAGGTAATGTTAGCAGTAATATCTATCATTACCCGTTCTTTATTTTACCAACTACATCTCATCACATTATCTTACACATCCCTGCCTAATAGGTAATATTGGGAAGAAAGGGATTGTTAGTAATGGGATCTAATTTACCCATTGCTATCAATACACACTATCAGATTTAACCTCCATGCGGTTCCCCCTGGAAACCGTCATGCTTAATGCTTGTTGACCTGTCTTTTCAACCCTCACTGGTGCCCCGCCAGTGTATCCCGATAACGCAGGCGGGGCATACCATTCCATTATCACCCATTAAAAAAATAAGTATTACTATATATATATATATATATATATATATATATATATATATATATATATATATATATATATATATATATATATATTTATATGCAATATAATAAGTACTTTTGATGGCCTGCACTCATATCATGTTGTGCTATTTGTCATACCAATAGGTTTTATTTCCATTGAATGAAAATGGAATTGTAACACGGCCTGTGCTTTATGCTGCTGGGGCTCCAGTGAGAATGAGGCAGTTGGCCCATCATGATGAATTCATCAAAAATTAACTACAATGGTTTATAGGAAGAACCACATAAAGGTTGACCTGTATTTTTTTCAATGGATGGTACTGGAATGATTACCCCACCTGTGCTAACGGTATATGCTGGTGGGGCAATAGTAAGAGATGATAGGTGAGAATGAAAATGCAGGTCAGTTAGCCCATCGTGATGAATACATCTGTAATGGGGGAAAAGGGATTGTTAGTAATGGAGACTGAGAATCCCATTGCTAGCAATATACCCAACTAGGTCGACCTCCTTGTGGTTCCCCCTGGAAACTATCATGTTTAATTCCTGATGAATTCATCATGATGGGCTAACTGGTCTGTTTTCATTCTCATCTATCACCCTTCACTGGTGCTCCACCAGCGTATCCCGTTAGCGCAGGCGGGATAACCATACCATATTCATCCATCAAAAAAAAAAATATACATCTGTAATTCTGAAAAATTAACATGAGCTGTATTTAAAAAAAAAAGAAAAGTCAGAGCAAGTGACTAGTTGTTGTTCTTTACAATTTCAGTTTTCATTCAATCATCTAATCTTGATTGAATCAATATTGTTATTGTTGTAGATGTCTACAGTATATAGTTTATATACTTAGTATAAAAATTAATACATACTAATTGTGTATTTACAGGAAATCCTTAAATCAACAGTAGATTTGGCTGATTTACTCGGACTGTACTTTGCATTGAGTGCAATCCCAGGAAAGGGGCATGCAAAGATTTTGACAGCAGCTATAGGCTGGGCAAGTGCTGAGGTAGAGGTCACATTTAATATACTTTAAATATATTATTAGCTAATTTAATATTATATGAGTTTTTCTAGATCATTAGACTGGCAAACAACCTGACAGACTATCTGATTGAAAATGAAAAAACTTTGTCTATAAATATGAATAGCACCATAGACATATTTAGCGAATACATTGTATTATGGTGTTAGGCTTCTGTATTGTATAATTTACTGCCTTACCCCACACTTCAAACCAAAACAATTTGAATGGATGTTTCACAGTAGAAACATTAGTGATATGAAGGTAGCACACCAACCTTTGTTATTTATTTACCCAGAGGGAGACTTTGTCCAAAAGTTGTTTGCTTAGGCACCTCTGTCCCATTCGTATTTTAACCGTGAAGCAGTTGTGTTTGCATGGCTGTGTTTCAGTTTGAAAGGTGACATATGGCAGTGAATTTACAAGGTACAGAGGAATAACACCTGACTCCTCAAGAATGGCAATGCATATCATGGGCAAAACAGTATACTCTGTTATGTCCTTGGTACTGCTCTTGTCTGTAGATGATGGTTACCACTTACCATCAGGTGGGCTGTCAGCTTCTTTGCCATTCTAAATTGCATAGAAAAAAATTAATTCTGACCCAATGTTCCTATAACATAATACAATAAAAAATAATCCATTCAATAGCTGACATTACATAGGAATGAAGTTGTCAATTCTGAAGCACTGAGTGGACTGGAGATGGCTCACTTCAGAAACCTCAACAATTCTTATCCTATTAACAAATGGCAGCAAAAATTTAGGATAGTGAAAATTATAAATTATCTTTAATTTATTTGCTTTTAAATAGATTTGTTTACAAGCTCTTTTAAATTAGTATTTTTTATAATTCTACTGCTGGGTTCGGATTGTTGTTATCTAGTGAAAAGAATCCATTTCTAATTGTAGTTGTAAGAAACAACTGAATTTTAGCTTTATAGTGAAATCTTGCACGTGTAAAACTTATATATGGTGTGGTGTATTATTTGCAGGTGGTGGTAACCCGCAGCATACTGCTATGGGTGGGCGCGAGAGGGTCCGAGTTCGACTGGCGCTACGTGCGGTCGTGCGCCGAGTCGAACGTGTCGCTGCTGCAGCACGCCGCCACCGCCGCGCTCGTGTGGCTGTGGACCCGCAGCGACCTGCCCCGCAAATATTCTCCTATTGTAGTGTCTCTTCTAGCACTGTCCCCTTACAGAGGATTAATGGAAGAGGCAGTAGCAAGTGTTTTGTCCCTCAGTGCATGGGCACTGCTGGCTTTACGCGCAGTTCATGCAACTATCGTCGGTCTTACCACTCTTGGTATCTATGCCGTCTTAGCTCAGCAAATAGGTATATAATTCCTCCAACATATTTAATTTATATTTCTTAGGATATTGTTTTAATTGTTTTATTTATCAAGTAAGTTAATAATAAACAGGTATATTGTAAAAAGGATTATGAAACCATTACAAAAATGTTTATGTAGTTTGCTTTTATTATTTAATAAATAATTCCAGAATAGTGTTCCAATCAAGTTACACCAATTATTGTATCCTCAGATTAGGGTACCCATCTTATTTAATACTAATAAGTGCAGAAGAATTTAAAGTAAATTCCAATATTAATTCCTTTATCTTCTTTTTTAAATGATATACCTATAATAAAGTGGCACCAATATTTAATGGATGATAATAGAATGGTAACCCCACCTACGTTAACGGTATACACTGGTAGGGCATCAGTAAGGAATGGTAAAGGAGAATGGAAGGACAGGTTAATTAGCCCATCATGATGAATACAACTGGAATTAAAAAAAACCGTATTACACGGGGGGTAAGGGATTGTTAGCAATAGAGTTTGAGAGCCCCATTGCTAGCAATATGTCTTATTAGGTCGACTTCCACGTGTTTCCCCCTGGAAACCATCGTGAACAATTCTTATTGAATTCGTCACGATGGGCTAACTGACCTACTTCATCCTTTACTGGTGCCCCGCCGGTGTATACCGATACCCATTATTTACTTTTTCTACCCACTGTGTCATTGGTATGGATGCATTGAGCGGATGCTCGCAGGGCGTCAATGAAGACAGGTCAATTAATCCATTATGAAGAGGCGAAAAGGATTGTTAGTAATGGGGTCTCAGTGGAGGATGATGGAATGATAACCCCGCTTTTGCTATCGATATACGCTAGCGGAGCATCAATGAGTGGCGATAGGTGATTATCCCATTGTGGACTCTGGTGTAATGAAACCATACACTTACCATAACATACTTTCGTATATAATGTAAGGATGAAACTTTATAAGTATTTTGGTAAGTGTTCTGGATAACAAAAAGCATAAAATAGAAATTAGAAATTGCAACGTAAAAACAAATATATTAAGAAAATTTTTAGTTCTGTTTTTTAATCTTTCGAAAAGTTGTTATCCTTTGCAATCTTTTTACTTATACTCCAATTTGAAAACCAAAGATAGTGGTTTGATCCTTTTTCAGTTTTCTTCCTTTAAATAGAGGAAGGATGATGAACCCTTTTACACTAGGCGGTAACATCGAATCTAATCAGGTCAATAAAAATAAAAAGTGATTTCCGAAAGACTTTATCAACACTCATTCTTAACATTTCTAAATGCATTGGTTGTCAACATCTCTAGTGACGTAGTTTCGTGGCCACCTCGAATATAAGATGAAGGTGGCATCTATAAAATTGGAGGTGCTTAATAAAGCGAAGTAGTACTTCACGCCGAATCAACGATTAATATTCTATACATCGCATATCTGGTCCCACATAGTGTATTTCTGCATGGAGTACTTCTTTTTAAAGAAAACGTCTTTCGCCTTTATGAAAAATCTCGACAGGGAGCTCATTCCACAGCCTGAGGGTTCGTGTGAGAAAATTTCTTTGAAATCGCACTGTACGTGACCATTTAGGTTCAAACGTATAAGGATGAATATCCTGGCGATGACCAGCGGTGCAGTGTTAAAAGGTGGCTGTAGGAATATTAAAAAAAAACAAACAATTCCTCAGTTCACTTTATACATATAAGAATTATCGATGATCCCAGGGTTACAAGCGATATCGAACCTTTAAGTATTAGGGAAAATTTTGTCTCACTTTGCATGTTCTACCGCTTATACTACAAATTGTGCTTAGAAGAATTATTCAATATGATGCCCACGACTGCTTTTTACCATCGAACAACTCACCTTCGACAGAAAGTTCACCCCCATACCTAAGAGTGTCAGAATGGGCGAGTACAGCTGTCGCGGTTTCAAAGAAGTTTCCTCCCACGAGCAATCAAATTATAAACCTACCAGCGTATCTGAAAGCGCGGGAGGCGTTACCATTCCATTATTGCCCATAAAAAAAGTCAAGTTGTAGATTGAGTTCTTTGTCGAGGTTTTTCCAAAAAATTACAGAATGATGTTCTGCAAAAAAGGAGTAAAGAGGTTTCTTTAAGGTTGACAATGCGCGCGTAACGCCCTCGGTATTGCAGGCGTTCGTAGACTACGGTTATTGCTTACCATCAGATGAACCATACACCTGTTTGCCAACTTAATGATATATATAACAAAAACGTGTGTGTCGAAGAAACAATAGTGATTATACAATTAAAGAATGTAGTAGTCTGAGCTGTACGTATAAACTTAGATAATATACAGGAAATTCAAATAAAGTTCTGCTGTCGTATCATAATTAAAGAATATTAACTGTAATATCAATAAATCAACAATTAATTCAATTAAAGCTACTCTTCTCAATCTATGTATTAGAGTTTATTAATCTATGACGTTTTCATCGTGACGTCAATTGACGTTTTGTGATAAAGTATTCTGTGTTTGCCTTCTACTGTTTGGCATTCTTAACTTGTTTTTAATAAATTTGTTCTCTATTATTTGATTACGTAGATACAAATGAGTATAATAATTAAAAGTGTATAGTATATCATAGATTGTCCATCGCACTGGACACGATGAACATAAATAACGAATTTATATATTGAACTGCCTTGTTGAATTCGCAATGTTATTCGCGGCGACCCTGATTATTTTGCTATGTGGTTCCAATGCGGAATACACATTAAAATGTAACAATGATACTCAGAAGAGCTTAACTCTTGAGCATTCAGGGGACGAAGTGAAGACTCGCTACATTGTGCAGTGGTGCACCGTCGTCGATCCTGTTCTCACCGAATGGAATCTCGTACTTTCATACAGTACCAACTTGAACAAAACTAAATGTAAAAAAGGTATACCGAGGCGATGGAACAAACACTCAGAAATAAGTGAACCATTCGATGGAAGAAATATTAATTGTACTAATGTAAGTACCATTGTCAACTTTTATTTCAATATTATATTTTGCTGGTTATATGAAGGTGGATTAAAAAAAAACTCAAAAACATGCACAACATGTGCATGTTTTTACAAATAATAATTTCAGCAAATAAACCAAAAGGATTCATTATATTACAATGATAACAAAAGAACAATCAAAAGTAGAGAAAACCTGGTTCACTGCCTTTTAAAAAAGGCTAAGTTGATTTTGTAGGCAAATAAGGTGTTATTGATGGTAATGGTGTGTTCAGTATTCTGGGACTCGAGGGTGTGATTATGAAAAAAGTGAGACCATAAACTGTACTGCTGCTGCTTACTATGTTGTTTACATGACAAAATAAAAATAAAATGTCTATGTACTTTATCACAACAGCCTTAACACTTAAAAGCAGAAGTGCATTTGCACTTGATAATGCTCATGTAGTAATATTTTTTATGTGAATAATTAAGTCATTTTAAATTCTTACTATGAGTACTTTTAATCTACCTTCGTATATTCTGCAAGTTGTAGAGTTGTGCAAATAAAGAGTGATTTTTTGGTAGTTCACTGTTAAAGAACTACTGAGATTTAGTGTGTTTTTTGATGTAGAAATCAATCTAATAAGCATATATATTACTTTTCCTTATCAAGTGTGCTGTATATATAAAGTTATATGTTTGTTAGTTAGTTCTTTCTATAATTTTAGTAACAAATTACCTATAAAACACACACCATATTTATACCATATAAATGTGGTATGTGCTTTTAAATATTATATATATATATATATATATATATATATAAAAATATATAATCATCATCTTCCTACCCTTATCCCAATCATTTGGGGTCTCTGTAATATGATTTTATCCATATTACAAAAAGATTTGGTTTTTAGTTTTGTGACTGGCCACCTGCCTGACGTCAACCCTCTTTGGGAAAAAAATATATAATAATCTTATTAATTGTTATAGTAAATGAAAATATTGCAAAGTTCTGAAGATACAGTTTCAAAATATCTCTTCAAAATCATTCTGTTTTCCTGTAGTATAAAAAAATGGAAAAACCATTAAAGTTGATAAGATTGTAAATGTAACTTGTTTACTTGCAGGTTTGCTTCAGCACAACATTAGATCTCATATTTAGTGCATGTTACTACATTGAGAGTTTTCTCCCAGCAATGGGATCCTACAAAACCATTGCCTACTCCTATATATCAAATGAGTACAGTGTTGCCTCTTTCACAAATAACATAGTAAATGCTGACATGATACCCCATGGGTAAGTATCATTATTTGTATATTTAATTCTTAATGTTTATATAATAAATATTATGATAATTTTTATGATAACAAACTTTTGTTATAAAAATGTGACTTTGTAACAGAGATTAAAATTCAAAGATCTTTAATGAAATAAATTTAATTTTTAGCTATTAAATTCTAATCTGGCAATATACGTTATTACTTCTTTTTCAATCGTGCCCATTTTTTTATTTAGAATCTAGTTGTCTCTGACACGAAACAGATATCTTAGCATAATTAGATTTTTTAAAAACCCTAAAAAACAGATAGACTTTGATTTGGTTTCTTATTTAAATGTAAAAAATTTATCCTTGTTCTGTTCTGAAACAATCCAGTCTAAATACTACCAATATTGTTAATGTTTTAATTTGTAAAGATGTTTTAATAATGGATTTTTAGATATGTTGACATTTGCAAATTAATCGCTCGAAACAACTGAATTGATTATTTTTATTTTATTTATTTCTTATTGCATTCCATAATATAATTAGTAGGTAACATTTCAATTATGGGCACTATTGGGCACAGCAAGTAGGGAAGAGGAGGAAAACACTTTTTTCACTTTAGAAATAGTCTTAGGATCTGTTACAATATTATCCAGTCATTGAAATTGTATCACGATAGGTAGGTTTTAAATTTATTTTAGTTGGACTGTGCCCTTCATAATAAATAATACTTTTTTTGGCCGTGTAGTTCCGGCATAGAATAGGCCATCTCTTTCTATCCCGTTGGTGTTGTAAGAGGTGACTAAGGAAGTGTGAGGGAGGGCAGCAGTATCCCTCTTAAAACATCCCTAAAGCCTGACTGCGGTTACCATGAGGCTTATGTTCAGCAGTGGACAGTTAAAAGATGATACTGATAACTTTTTATTTTAATTCAAACAGGCAAAATGACAAGAGCATAGATATGGCAGAGTATGCTGTGTCACCCATGATAGCCTTCATGCGTTTTCTTTATCACCTAGTTTCTCTTGAAACAGTTGTGATAATACCATTGCATATTTACAGAATGACATAATTTGTACTCTATTATTAATTAGCACTTATATGTATGTATTAAATGTAATGTATCTTGTACCCGATAATAATTTTGCACGCTTTAGACTATTTGTACTTTGTACACATAGTTCACAATGGATCAATATCTGTAAAAAACAATGTTCTCACAAATAAACAAATCTAAATCTAATGATAAACTCTGTTAGTGCAGTGTGATGTAATTTGAAATGAAATGAAATGAATGAAATGAAATGAAATGAATGAAATGAAATGAGATGAAATGAATTTATTTTGCTAGAATGCAGGTAATTTTAGATGATAGAGGTTTATAGGTTCCCGTGTACATTCTGCCTCTATGTCGGCGTGCAATTTTTTAACAATATAACAATTTGTGCCCTAACTTGCATTTTCAGAAACCATTTTCTTATTTGGAACCATTCTTTGTATTTTAGTCTGATCTCTAGCTTACGTAGTCAAATTACAAAGATTTTAGTAATCTTATAATTGAATATTTAATTAGTGATTCAAAAAGTACACAACCTTTGTGTTCTCACTAATTATATTTTCCACTTGTGAGAAATTAGACAAATGTCTGTACAAAGTTGTCTTATCATTGTTGTTTCAAAAGACAGGCAGTCATATCTTAACTGCCTATTTGTCATTAGTTACCATCATTATATCAGCCTTTACCTGTCCACTGTTGAATATGAGTGAATTCCCTTGGGGGGTTTTGCTAGTATTTGCCACGCTTGGCAGGCTGATTGGCAACCGCAGTTAGGCTTTAGAGTTTTTTTTTAAAGGGACGCTGCTGCTCATCCCTCGTTCTCCCTTAATCGCTTCTTACAACACTTACGGGAAAGGAAGGGGTGGCCTATTCTATGCTGGGACTTGACTTACATGGCCACTTGTCATTAGTAAATATACTTAATTGTAGTTATTATAGTTTAACTATCTTCAAACTTAAAATGACATTAGTAAAAAAGGTTGTATTTTTATTATAAAAAAAAATTACAATAGCTTACGATAAATAACAATTGCTGAAATTTTATTATTAAATTATTAATTAATTAATTTTACAATATGAATATAAATAATTATAAACTATAGAATATATTAAATATCTATATAATACTAATAACAATTACGATATGAATAGATAACACACTAATACTTAAATAATGAATAATAATAATAGTAAGACAATACGTAGCTATCGTGATACAATATCAATGACTGGATAGTGTTGTAACAGATCCTTAGACTATTTCTAAAGTGAAAAAAGTGTTGTCCTCCTCTCTCGTACTTGCTGTGCCCAACACCCTGTTGGGCATGGGCTATTTCACCATAATTGAAATGTTATCTACTAATTATATTATGGAATGCAATAAGAAATAAATAAATATGTTATGTTGACATATTCAATACAACATACTAAATGTAATATACAGTAAATGGTAATAGTTTACAAATATTTTCGTGAATCTTTTCAATTTACATAATCCTATATATTAAAAAAAAACCCTTTTTATGTAACTTGAAAGATTATTTAATATTTAATGTGTTTACAGAGACTATGTTGCAATACACTGGTACTTTGGCAACATAACTGTGACAGATTACTCAATGGACCTCTGTCCCATTGACAATACAACAGCTCATATGGTAATGTTCGTTAATTTATTTTTCAATATTTAATTAAAGATTTCGTCTAGTATGGTGTTTCCCAACGTGGTGCCCACGCCCCACAGGGGGGCAATTTGATAGTTAAGGGGGGGGGGGGCAATTAAAACTGGACTCGAAGCGATTTTAACCATCTTGCTCCGAGTCATTTAAATGCAATGCTACGAGTAGATATCCCTGACAAATTTAACAAAAAATGTGCTGTAATTATTTATTAGGTATAATTTCGTTTGACGTTACGAAAATATGAACTGGGCGATTAGAGTCGTCAAGTAAACTGTCGGGAAAATTTATGTATGGGGGCACAAAAATTTTAGAAATGTTCAAGTGGGGCATGGCACAAAAAAGGTTCGGAAACACTAGTCTGGTAGTAAATAGTTACTATACACTAAGTATGTTTACAACAACTAGACTCATCTAAAGGAATCCTTTTATGTCTTTTTTTTTATACAACTCAGAATGGCCGTTTGCCATTCTAAGTTGTATAAAAGAAAAGAAAGTTGACGGCCCACCTGATGGAAAGTGGTAACCGTCGCCTATAGACATGAACAGTACCATGGACATAACAGAGTATACTGTTTCGCCCATGATACCCTCCCATTCGTTGCCATTCCTGAGGACTCAGTTGTTATTCCTCTGTACCCTGTAATTTCACTGCCATATTCCCACCCTTCAAACCGAAACACAGCCATGCAAACACAACTGCTTCACGGTTGAAACACGAATGGGACAGAGGTACCCAAGCAATCGAATTTTGTACAAAGTCTCCCTCTGGTATGTAATAAATAAGTTTTTGTGCATTAATGAGGCGAAGAATTTATAAGAAAAAACAAATATATGTAGAAGGTATAAAGGAAAAAAGTTGATCCGCTTTACTCGAACTATTTGTATGGAGACACTATCAATATAATCTGAGACTTCAATAAACATACATAGAATATAAATATGGATGAGGAAAATGGTGCTTCCCCCCCCCCCCCCCCACCCCCGCTCCTGCTCCCGTTAGTCCGTCTTTATAATTCTTTATAAATAATATATTAAAATTAAAAATATTTATATAAATATTTGCAGGATGTCGTTGTGTGCGAGAACGTAAACGACAACTGCACAAGCGGCAACACCAGAAATAAAAACGTGGTCATTTGCAACCTGTGGGGGCTCCGCGGCTTCTATAAGTTGCACATGCGCCACCTCACGCCCTGGAAGACGGGCAGTGTCTTCATCCGGCAAGCATTCACGCATTACAAGTTTTGTAAGTATCACTTTACATTTTCTCTCGAAGTACGGTAAGATTTTTGCCACAAAATGTTAAACTTGATATTGACAGGTGTTAAATAGATGTGTAAACGTTTTACCACAAAAGGAAGTCTGTCTTATTGAAGGTTAAAGATTTTTAACATATTTTAGTTACTCTATAAATTTTGACACATAAAATTATACATACATACATACATACATATCTGTCACGCTTGTCTCCCATTAGGGTAGGCAGAAACAATGGAGCACCAAATGCTTCGATTCAAACAAACCTCTTTCGCTTCTTCCACATTCATCAATCTTTTCATACAATACATAAAATTATATATATAAAAATATATTATTACACCAACCAACCAATGTTTAGTATGTTAGACAGAGTTTTGTTAAACACTGTTTAGTTGTACAGTGTATAAAATTTTTTCGCTGTAAGTCCATGAGTGTATAGCTAGCATCAAGTACTAGTTAGTTTACGATTTAGAAAATCACTTCCTTAGTGCTTCTTTATGAATACATACACCTGCATAGAATTTCATGTTTCTACGACTCATTACAGTAGAGAAAAAACAGTTTTCCGCTTTGCAATGATTGCAAAAAACAAAAGGCCCTACAGGGTACAGAGGAATAACACCTGAATCCTCAGGAATGGCAACGCATGGGGGGTATCATGGGCGAAACAGTATACTCTGTTATGTCCATGCTACTACTCATGTCTATAGGCGACAGTTACCACTTTCCATCAGGTGGGCCGTCAGCTTGTTTGTCATTCTAAGTTGTATAAAAAAAAATACACTTATATTTTTCAGTGATGTATATAATCTCCCAATTCTGAACTGATTCATCTAATTTTTTTTTTAACAACTTAGAATGGCAAACAAGCTGACGGCTAACCTGGTGGAAAGTGGTAACCGTCGCCCATAGACATGAACAAATGCCATAGACATAACAGAGTATACCGTTTCATTTCATTTCAGTACATACATATAAATTTTATCATAATTGAAGTAATTTTTCTTTAATGGGTGATAATGGAATTGTGACCCCGCTTGCGCTATGGGTATACGCTGGTGGGGCACCAGTGATAGATGATAGGTGACGATGAAAGCAGGACAGTTAGCCCATCGTGACGAATTCCACTAGAATTAACCACGATAGTTTCCAGGGGGAACAACGTGGAGGCCGACCTAATAGAGTGCTGGCAATGAATGGATCAGTTAGACCCCATTACTAACAATTCCTTTCTCCCCTCTTAATTTAAGTCGCTCTTTTTTGTTAATTAAAAACTTCCTTATCCGTCCGTCCGTTTGTCTGTTTGTCAAGGCCCTTTTTCTTAGGAACGCGTGTAGGTATCAAATTCAAATTAATATCATATACTCAGGTGTGCAATCTCTTAAAGCAGTGAAAATAATCAAGCTTCTAAATTGACGCAATCTATAGATACGGCCGTTTATGTTCCATTTATATTGCATATTTTGACTTTCGCAAAGGGAATCAAAATCTATAGGGTACTTTCCGTCGACCTAGAATCATGAAATTTGGCAAGAAGCAATGTCATGTAGCACAAGTAAAGGAACAAATCCGAAAACCGTAAATTTGCATTTATTTCACAAATAAAAAAAAATTAACTTTATTTTGTACGGAACTCACATTGCGCGAGTCCGACTTGCACTTGACCGGCTTTTTTTTTTTTAATAATAATCTGTACATTCTATTTACCCCATCTGAAATGGAGTCTTGCAGAAACACTACACACAAAAACACACACAATAACACCTGAGTCCTCAGGAATGGCAACGCATGGGGGGTATCATCGGCGAAACAGTATACTCTGTTATGTGCATGGTACTGTCCATGTCTACAGGCGACGGTTACCACTTTCCATCAGGTGGGCCGTCAGGTTGTTTGCCATTCTAAGTTGCATAAAAAAAAACGTTTTTTTTATTAATGAATAGTTGGCAACCCTACCGGGAGTCCTATTATGGGATACAAAGGGCTATAAAGGAGCAAATATAAAATTAATATCGACCAAGTCAGTAAATGAATCATGACACAAAGATAGGCCAAAACAAACCGACGCTGTACTGTATCTCACATCTCTGTATATTTTCCTTGTTGATGATTGTATTATTGACCTCATGACTGGCTGAATCTGTGGGTTATCAACATGATGCGCTGTGAATCCGATTACGTACGCCTTTTACATATGCGTGAAAAAAATCCTATTTCGTCATGCTCGTTACAGTGGGCGTATGTATTTTTATCGATTGGAATACATAAATGCTACGTACGTTGACTGTCGAGTTGTAATTTAAATTTAATAGCATTTTAATTCATTCTTTCTCCCTATTCCACCCTTCAAACCGAAACACAGCCATGCGAACGCAACTGCTTCATGGTGGAAACACGAATGGGACAGAGGTACCCAAGCAAACGACTTTTGTACAAAATCTCCCTCTGGTAATATTATTTATAAGCAGTCGAGGTTTTTCTAAGAGACTACAGCATGCAGTTCATAAAAAAAAGAGATAACGAGGTTTCTTCAGGGTGGGCAATGCGCGCGTAATGCCCCTGGTGATGTAGGCGTTCATAGGCTATGGTAACCGTTTGTGTGTGTGTGTGGCTTTCATTATTGTGTCAATTAGTTTATAAAAGTTACTGAGAAAACGAGGTTATGTTACAATGGGTAAAAATTGTTCAATGACTTTTGTGGTGTAGTGGTTTAAAACTGCATTACGTTTTCATGGTTGTGGGTTCGAGTTTCGCATTGTAGGAATGTATTTGTTAATATAATACGTAAATAACATATGTATGTTTGTATTGGCTTGTATATTCCGTTTTAGTCCTTGATAATGTATTAAGACAAAAGAATTTGTAAAATTAAATATTTTTAGTTTATTCGTTGGTAGTGATTCGGCCCGGTTTCACACGGGGATATAGAATTTTCGAGAATAGTATATAGTATATATAGTATATATATATATATATATATAATTTATCGTCTACAAATATAGATAACGAAATATTTTGTCTTTGTAACATTAGTGTAGATAAACAAAAGGTAAATTTAGTTTAGATAGGGCAACGGAACTTTATCTGTTTGGAACAAATATTTGTGCGAGTCGGGGTTCGTTCGAGGGGTGGTGACACGTGGCGGGTACGGTTGCAGACGTGGCGGCGCCGAGCGAGCCGCGGCTGCAGGCGCGGCGCGACGACGTGGCGTGGGCGTGCGGCGCGCTGGCCGCCGCCGCGCTGGCCGCCGCCACGCTGGCCGCCGCCGCGCTGCTGGCGCGTGCACACCGCCGCGGCCTCGCACGCTTCCGCACCAACGTGCTGCTCGGCTGGCAGAGGTACGCCACGGACACACGCACGCACACGCGCACATACACACGCATACATACGCATGCACGCACGCGCACGCACGCACACGCACGCACACGCGCACGCGCACTTATTATTTAAATATGATACCAAAGCCTATATCCTATACCATCCTATACCAGATTTCATAGTGATTGCTCATGTATGCCACTACGACGTCAACAGTAATAAATAATAAACTAGCTCACTTTCACATTTATAATATTACTAGAGTAAGCATTGAATATTATATTTTCAATGAATTGTTTGTTATAATTTTTTTTTTTTTTTTTTCTTAATAAATATTAACTTTTTCTCAAACATGCTTGGAAATGTGAGCATTATTTTGACAATCTTCTTCGAGATAAATCAAAATTGCCGTACTGGCCAGATACATGCGGGCAGCGGCCGGCAAGAGTTGTATGAAAATCCATATCTGTCGTGTTTTACGGCCAGATAAATTACTATCTAAACTCATATCTATCCTGTAATTTAAAAATGGAATGACCTTTTACTTCGAAACATGGCTACCAAGAAGGTAACTAATAAAAGGTTTTAATTAAATTTCGAACCGGCTTGCAAATAGAAAGCTATTTATTGAAAAAAAAAAATAAAACAAAGGCGCGTGAAAAATTATTATTGTTCGTTATTCGTCATTGAACTTAAAAAGTAAAATTGTGTTTTTGATTTCCGCGCATTGTTTGAGAAAAGTACTATACAAGCCTTGGCCACAACTAGGCATTGAAGAACTCACGTATGTATGCCTCGGCTACGTCTCGGCCCACATTTGCACGTTCGTCCATCAATGCCTCAGTTGCTGGCCGCTGCAGTAATGTACTATTAAACTGTTTTGTGCCTGAGAAAGTAATTTTGTCATAGTCTCATTATGTAGTAGAAATATCACAGTTGTCTGGATACATCTTACTCGTATTTTGATACTTGAGTTGAGTTTTTTATTTATTACATCATAATATCCCATAGGATGGGATTGTGATCAATGGCAGTACAGTGATACCTCATCTATCTATCCTATTTAAGAGCTGCGCTCTTGTCGGTGGACCTCTTGCCACTCACTACGATTTTCAGCGAGTCTCTTCACCTCTTGATACGACACGACACCAACTCCTTCCTTGATCTGCCTGATGTAACCATGTCTCGGTCTCCCTCTCCCCCTTCTTCCTTCTATCTTACCTTCTATTATAATGTTCATAAGTTCGTCGTGTCGTATCAAGTGTCCTAACATTTTTCCCCTTGAGTGATACCTCAATATACAAATATTTTAAGATACAAGCCGCCGAGCGAGCGATATTTTGCTCTGAGAGCAAGATTTGAGATGCGAGGAATCGCACACTACACCGCTACACACGAGCCCCACATGCGGGGTGGATGTTGGTGTCTAACAGTTTCTCCCACTTCTGACTAACACTTAACAAAAACAACTGAGATGTTTTTTTTGTAGTACGGATTAATGGCATTTCAAATAATTTCAATGGGGAAAATTGCTTTGAGATACGAGCAATTTGATATACGAACGAGGTTACGGAACGAATTAAAATCGTATGTCGTATGGGAGTTCACTCTCATACCTTACAGCCTAAATGGTCGCGTACAACGCGGTTTCAGAGATGTTTTCTCCCACGAATACTCAGGTTATGGAATGAGCTCCCTGCCGAGGTTTTCCCAAGAGACTACAGCATTGGGTTCTTCAAAAGGGGGGTAAAGAGGTTTCTTCAGGGTCGGCAACGCGCGCGTAATACCTCTGGTATTGCAGGTGTTCATAGGCTACGGTAATCGCTTACCATCAGGTGGGCCGTATACTTGTTTGCCACCTCAGTGGTATAAAAAAAAAATGTCGAGGTACTACTGTACTTTAAAACAATGTGTAAGTCTATCGGTGCCCGTGTGCAGGTGGACGGCAGAGAAGTACGGCACAGAGCAGCAACCGAGCGAAGGCGGCGAGGAGGCGGAGGAGCCGCTGTTGCTGCTGTACGCGCGCGAGGGACCCGAGGGGGATCCGGTGGCGGCCGCGCTCGCAGAGTTGCTGCAGCTTGCAGCACCCGGACAGGTACGCATACGGCCCGCCCGCTGACGCACTCACGCACGGACGAGGACGAGTTCACATTGTTGCTTTTGGACTATGTTACGTTGATGTACAACTTTCGTGACATATTATAAATTACTATCGACCCGCAATAGCTTCACATATTTCATTTTTTTTTTTTTTTTAATAAAATGCAGCCCATTTTCTTTGCCGAGACTATTTTCACGTGTGTATTGTAAGAGTCGACTAATAGCAGTTAATGGTAGATTGATGAGTTGCAGCGTCCTTCTGAAAACGTCACTGAAGTCCAATTGCGGTTGCCAACCCATCTGCCAAGCGTGGCAACTACTAGCAAAGCCACCCAGCAGGAGGTCTATGTTCAGCAATGAACAGTTATTGGCTTATATGATGATAAAAATAATATAGAATATAAAGAACGAAAGAGCATTGAAGATATTTCTATTGAACAAACGGATGAAGTATCGTATATGGAACTAGAAAATTCCATAATAATTTACGTATATCGCCAGCCGTTGGCTTGTTTTCAATCTTTTGAATTGACTATGGAGGAAGCATTGAGAGGAGTCGTGCGGAAAAATAAATATTTTTTTGTATTTCGTCTTTAACGTTGATCTTTTATCAAATTGCTCAAATAGTTTAAAATTAATACATTTATTTAAGTAATTTGACGTCATCAGGGGTGTTCTTCTCTAGAAATCTGTCTGTGTCTATAGAATAGGGGCATTCGGATATGCGACCCCGGCCTCCCGAGCCGCTGCTGTGTCCCAGTCTTTTCCGCAACTGCAGTGTCCCCCCTTTCCTTTCCCACATAAGTCCCTTATTCTTCTCATTTACTAATTTCCTTTACGAATTTCTAACGTTCCCTTCCTTTTTTCCCCTCAATCTTTTCCACCATACCATAGGTGGCGGGAACCACCAACAAATGCATTCCTAAAGAGGGTTGACGTCAGGCAAGCAGCCGGTTGTAAAACTATAAGCCAAATCCTTTAGTAATATGGATAAAACCATATTGCGCCGACCACAAATAATAATTGGGATAAGGGAAGGAAGATGATGATTTAGTTCATTTGACTTTCATAATCTATTTTTAGAACCTACTAGAATTGCCACTTGCTCGGGATAACATTTTTTGTAATTATAAAATTAAGGTAATTATGAATCTTGACTATCAAGGCTTGGATCATTTTGGACAAAAAATCGTAATTAAAAACAATGATAGCTCTAAACCCCCCAAAAAAAAAACAGCATGTCGGCAGATTACTAAAAATAATTGGCCACTATTTCAAAGTAAATTTTAAACTAAAATATTTGATTCCAAAATACCAAGAGATGACCCGGATTAACATGAAGTTAGTATTGACTTTTACTATGGATATAAAACCAGGGGTTTGCGACTTGGCCACGTTTAGCATTTATAAATTTAAGATATGTATGTATTAATATTGTATCTTTCAAATATATATATATATATATATAAAATGATTTATAATTTATGTAAATATTTATTTTAGTTTCCGTTTAGCACTACTACTGCCCACTCACTGCTTCCTATGCCACTGTGTTAGGTTGAATGGAAGAAATCAGAGACAAGTTCGCCTTTGCTTACATTGTTATTAACTTATTGTTGTTACTGTACAGCGTATACATTGTTTCACAAGTATATATCTTATTCTAAAACGTTTAAACGGGTATGCAAGACAGCTAAGTCTATCTACTTAAGTAATTAATAATTCTAAGAACAAAATTAAACCCGCTTGGAAGATAACTAATAGCGAAACTGGAAAAGTGAAAGCTCACGATAATGAAATTGTTTCAAATATTAATGATCAATTTATTAGTACTGACATTGAAGTTGTAGAGCATTTGAAATCTTTTTTCACTAATAAACCATTTACAACAATTCGATCTTTAAACTCTTCCGCATTTGCGGCTGAAGCTTTACTAATAAAAAATATTAGTAAGCCATCAGCTGTGTTTAGTTTTAATCATATAACTCCCATATATATAATACAAACATTTAAATCACTTACCAGGGGGAGACTTTGTACAAAAGTCGATTGCTTGTGCACCTCTGTCCCATTCGTGTTTCATCCGTGAAGCAGTTGTGTTTGCATGGCTGTGTTTCGGTTGGAAGGGTGGGATATGGCGTGAATTTACTGGGTACAGAGAAATAACATTGCCATTCCTGAGTCCTCAGGTGTGCGTGCAGGTCGCGCAGGCGCTTTGTGATTGTTGGCTGCACGTCCTTACCACACACGGGCCAGCGACTAGGAGTGTTTTGTTTATTAGGACAATTTAAAAATTAATTTGTTTTATTGTAAAGTAATTCTTGTATTTTAATTATTAATTAAACGTATTATAAAGATGAACCCTACTATTAATCCTACAGGTTCAGTAGTCGTTATTGTTGTATTAGCTGTTAACTGTCCAACGTTGGACATAGTTATCCTCGTAAGGGTAGGTTTATAGGGGCTTCCTCTGTAAGGGGGATTTTGCCAGTAGTTGCCAAGCTTGGTAGGCGCGTTGGCGACCGCAGTTAGGCTTTTGGTGATGTTTTAAGAGGGGCACTGGCCAACCCTCAGTCATTAAGTTTTCTTCTACAATACCCATGGGAAAGGAAACTGGGGCCCATTCTATACCGGGATGTATGTAGGTGGTTTTGCTACATATTTGAGTCGGTGTTTTGTGGAGCAAAGTTTTGAATGATCGCAATGAACGGCGGCTGAGCAGTAGGTGTATATTATCGGTTGCAGGTGATAGACCTGTACAGGCCGGAGACGACGGCGGCGGCGGCGGCGGCGCCGGCGGCGTGGCTGCGCGCGCTGCTGGCGCGGCCGCGGCTGCGGCTCGTGCTGCTGCAGACGCCGGCGCTGCTGCTGGCGGCCGGCGCCGCGCCGCTGCCGCCCGGCGCGGACGGCGGCGCGGACGCCTTCCCGCTGCTGGCGCGGCGGCCCGTCTACCGCAGCCCGCTGCCCGGCGACGCGCTGCTGCAGCTGGCGCTGCGGCTGCTGGCCGAGACCGCGCACGTCCACTCGGACCGGCCCTACACCAAGTACTACCTCGCCACGTGAGTACCGCCTGTAGTAATTTTTTTTTTACGTGGGTAAAGCCTCATGGAGATCCGCACACCCCGGGGGAGGAGTGTGAATACTGCGGGCGGACTCTTACAAATAATTTGTGTTTATTATTATTGTTTTTTAATAATTTATGTCATATTGCCTCTTTGGCAATTAAGGTTTTTTTTTTATATACAACTTATAATGGCAAACAAGCTAACGGCCCACCTGATGGAAAGTGGTAACCGTCGCCTATAGACATGAGCAGTACCGTGGACATAATAAAGTATACTGTTTCACCCATGATACCCCCCATGCGTTGCCATTCCTGAGGACTCAGGTGTTATTCCTCCGTACCCAGTAAATTCACGCCATATCCCACCTTTCAAACCGAAACACAGCCATGCGAACACAACTGCTTCACGGTTGAAACACGAATGTGACAGAGGTACACAAGCAATTAACTATTGTACAAAGTCTCCCTCTGGTGCACTTTTGCTCAGGAATTTTATATGTTCTTGTAAAAATCTGAAGAGATTGTCTACACTAGAGTATTTGGGTATTATTGTGGACGAGAGCGTTAACGTCGGTTCAGAATGGGTCACCATTTTCTTTTCCGTGGGTGTTGGAAGAAGCGACTAAGGGAATGTCGAAGTCGAGGGATGGGCAGCAGCGTCCCTCTTAAAATATCTCAAAAGACCTAACTGCGGTTGCCATATAAAGAAATGGCCCTTGATCCCCGTCGGTTCCGCTATTTTTGGCTATTATACATACTTTTTTTTTTCAATGGGTGAAAATGGTATGGTAACCCCGCCTGTGCTGACGGGATACGCTGGCGGAGCACCAGTGAAGGGTGATAGATGAGAATGAAAACAGGCCAGTTAGCCCATCATGATACTGTGTACTGTTAGACGTGTCTACGTAGGTGTGGTCACACCGGGCGTGGACATGGTGTATCCGTCCCCCGTCCTCTAGACACGCGTGTGTCGGTGTCGGTGTCGGTGTCGGTGTCCGCAGGCTGAGCGCGCTGCCGACGGAGGCGCTGCCGCACACGGTGCCGTTCCGGCGGTACGAGCTGCCCGAGCAGGCGCCGCGGCTGCTGCTGGAGCTGGCGGCGGGCCGGCCCCCCGCGGCCGCCACCGCGCGCCTGCACCACGCCGCCGCGCACTTCGCCGAGCACGCGCGCCGCCACCCGCACTACCTGCGCCACGAGCTGCTGCTGCCGTGAGCCGCGGCCTGCACCGGCTGCACCGGCCTGCACCGGCCTGCACCGGCCTGCACCGGCCTGCCGCCGCCAGCCTATATCGTATCGTTTAAATCTCCACACAGCGGTCGCTCAGGTCGCAGTCGATTGGAAAGGTTTCCAATTTCTCTTAATAATACAGGGTACACTTTAGAGACTTAGTACGATTATGTGGCATACGCGACCCTCGCTTCCAGGATCCCTCCTGACAGAATTCTCGGTATTTTCCCCCGATTTTACAATTCCATCGTAGTCACGTCGGAGTACGAGTATGAACATATACACGTTGTCGGGTAGCACATAATTAACAGCGTTCACGGCCGCTGGAATACTATTGATCTCAAATCTACCGATCGATGCCTTAAATTATATAAATACAGTGTCTCACTGTCTGTACTGTATAAATACAAATGCTTCGAGTAAAGCGGGTCAACTTTTTTCATACAATTTTGTATGATAAATAGCTACGAGTGATTCCTTTATAACTTCTATATTTATTTTGTCTTATAAATTATGCATCGATTTAATGCACGAAATAATGCATGCTACCATATACCAGAGGGAGACTTTGTACAAAAGTCGATTGCTTGGGTACCTCTGTCCCATTCGTGTTTCAACCGTAAAACAGTTGTGTTTGCATGGCTGTGTTTCGGTATGAAGGGTAGGATATGGCGTGAATTTACTGGGTACAGAGGAATAATACCTGAGTCCTCAGGAATGGCAACGCATGGGGGGTATCATGGGCGAAACAGTATACTCTGTTATGTCCACGGTACTGCTCATGTATATAGGTGACGGTTACCACTTTCCATCAAGTGGGCCGTCAGCTTGTTTGCCATTCTAAGTTGTATAAAAAAAAAATTAAATGTAGATAAGTCAAGATAAATTATGTGCGTAAGTGTATAGAGCATTAATAAAAAAAAACGAGTTAGCTAATTCGACAAAAAGTCGACCCGTTTTTTAGGCTCGATGCCCTATCTATGTAATCTAAGGCCCGTCCTCTGTCCAGATATGAAAACTATACCATATGATGTGGAAACTCTTTTCCCCGACTGTCATGGTGTCGCGGGTTTCGTTTAAATCGAACTGACGACAGTAACTAAATCACTGTCCCACACTATCTACTAATATTCCTGTGATACATTATCATAGTCGCCATTTTATATGTATAACTCTAATTAACTTTTTATATACAAGTTTATTTTTTATTTTTTATATAATACACAAGATAAATGACGATTCGTAATTTCGCGTAATCATGAATAAATTTTAGATTATATAGATAGAGCTTCAAATCCTAAAAACGGGGCAACTTACTGTCAGCTAATTGTCAAATTAGCTGATTTGTTTTCTTTTTTTCTTAATAGTGTTACGTACATATCTTGACGTATCTATATTTAATTATAAATTAATAAATAAAAATTTATGTTTGAGCAATAAAAAGAAACAAAAAATATAACTAACAAATGAATTGCTTTTAATTGGTAAATACATTTCACACTTTTCTAAAAAAAAAAAAAAAATCCGCCATTTTTAAGTGTTGCAAGTTTCCGAAAAATGTCCTCACAATTGAATTAAAATTCCCAAAATAAGGTTGATTTTTTTTTTGTCAATAAGACTGAATTAACTTTAATTATTATTTGTATTTTGTGCTATTTTTTTTTACATAATATATCTTCAAAATGGAGATTTTAATTCGACTATACATATTTTATCTAAACGATCTTTGTTATTTGACCGATTGCTTTCAAAATCGATATCTGAAGATTCGTATACATTTCGAATATGAATCTGGTGTTAGACACATACATACATACATATCTATCACGCCTGTCTTCCATTAGGGTAGGCAGAAACAATGGAACGCCAAGTGCTTCGATTCAAACAAACCTCTTTCGCTTCTTCCACATTCATCAATCTTTTCATACACGCTCGCCGGTTACGGGTACTTTTAATTCGGCCCTTCTTCAGCACGTCGCCTATTTGGTCGACATACGTCCGTCTAGGGCGGCCCCTGCCGACATCTCCATTCATTCTTGCTCGGTAAATCTCTTTCGTAATTCTTCTTTCATCGTCTTCAGTCCACACTTCTCTCTAATCACACTGTTTCTTACTCTATCTTCTAATATAATACCACACATACTTCTCAGAGCTCTCATCTGTACAGCATTTATCTTACTTTCATACTTCTGCCATACCTATGATTCGCTTCCATACATGAATGTCGGTGTCGGTACTCCCTGAATGTGTTAATCACTGATTCTGGTTTTAAAATTAATCAAAATGGCCGTCATTTTAATTTTCTTCGGTTTTTGACCGATTTCTTTCAAATACCGATATCTGAGTGTCCGCATACACTTAATTTTTTTATTTAAAATGATAAAACTATTTATTTATATAAGGGTTAACTAAATAGCATTAAGAATTTAAATTTTATATAAAATACATTTAAATGTAAAAAAAACATTTTTTTACATTTAGTCAACGTAATTTACAATTAATTACCTCATATTTTCCATTCTTATATTTAGGTATTTCAAAAAACCTGCATAAAATTAAAATGGCTCCCACTTTAATTAATTCTGACACAAATACATGTTTTAAATCTGTAAAGATTTTAAGATATCCGTATTCAAAGGAATCGAAAAGTAAAAAATAAAAACAAAATGGCTGTCACATTTAGTGACATTATCCGTCCATATTTATAGTGTACATGCATCCACACATACCGGTTTTCAGTCTTCACTTTAGAATTTTACTTATTTTTAAAGCAATATTTTTTTTTATACCACTGAGGTGGTAAACAAGCAGACGGCCCACGTGATGATAAGCGGTTGCTCTGTCACGTATACATTTGTATGAAAAAGTTGACCCAGTTTTTTCGAAGCATTTATATGGAAACACTATATAATCGAAGGAATAAACATTTACTGCCTAAAATGAATAATGTGCTAGTATGCATGTATTTAGGGTTACCATCTAAGACGTAAAATATTTATGATGTCCTTCTCTTTTCCCATCTTCTTTTCCATTTTTTTTTATACAACTTAGAATAGCAAACAAGCTGACGGCCCACCTGATGGAAAGTAGTACCTGTCGCCTATAGACATGAGCAGTACCATGGACATAACAGAGTATACTGTTTCGCCCATGATACCCCCCATGCGTTGCCATTCTTGAGGACTCAGGTGTTATTCCTCGATACCCTGTAAATTCATTGTCATATCCCACCCTTCAAACCGAAACACAGCCATGCAAACACAACTGCTTCACAGTAGAAACACGAATAGGACAGAGGTACCTAAGCAATCGACTTTTACAGTCTCCCATTGGTATTATTTGATATAAAAAACAATTTTTTTTTATGGTAACCCTGTTGGTGCGTAATATGGTGATATTTTGGAGTAAATGTGCCAAACCAGACAATAAGTAATACTTATATATTATCTCGTTTATATAATGAGTCGGAAATATTATGTAGGGTTAAGGACTCCATTGAGCAGTACCTGTGTCTTCTATACGTATGGTTTTTCTACATCGGTGTAGAGCCGATGCCTCTATAGTACAAATATTTAATATTTTAATATATATATATATATATTAAATAAATAAATTTAAATAGTTGTATGTCGCGGACAACGTAGAATATTCGTCGCCATATATACGTGTTAAGTCCGCCATATGTACACTTATATAATTCTACATTAAATAAATAAAGCTTTACTGATATGTTATAGTTAAACATGAACATAAGGTTTAAAAATATGTGTATATATATATATATATATATATATATATATATATATATATATATATATATATATATATATATATATATATATATATATATATAAAATCTAGTCATATGACTAGATTTTTTTACTAGATTTTTAACCAACAGAGCTATTTTGTTTCATAACAGAATAGCTACTTTCCTCTTTTTTTTTTATTTCAAGCGTTTTCAATTCGTCTGTTAAAACATTTTGACTAGAATATACGATTGGTAGAAGAATAAAGCGGATAAACAATATTTGAAACATTGTTGACGATTTTGACTGCTAAATAAAAATATTTGTTTTTTTTTCTGTCTTTTTTAATTAACCTGTGAAGGTACTGTGCCGTTTCTATTCGTGGTTAACAGTTTTCTCCATGTGATGTATTTATGACGTAATTAGAGTACATTTTTATTATTTATGCAAAAATAAATATATTTCGGAACCCCCCCCCCCCTCCCCCCCCCTAATAGGCTAAGATCCAACCGCTGAATCCTGCAGCTATTAAACATTTTAATGAAACCCTGTTTAAATGAATGATGTTTATGTCATCTTTCATTTAAACCAAATTTCATTAAAAAGTTTTATACACGCCGAATTCAGCTGCGAAATTTCGGTGTAAAGGCGAAATTTATTCGGTTGTTAAGAGTGTGATATTAGCGTGAAGTTATGCGTTAACTGTCAAATTTATTTAAGTTTAATATTTATATTTTGGAAAATAAATTATTATAGTGTTATTTAATATTTTTTCTATAAAAATGAAAACTTGTAATTTTTCTACATCTTAAAAATTGGCAGACAATTGAAATGTCAAATTTGTGTATGATGTTTGTTAAGCGAGCAACGAGATTGTTATAACGGAGTCAATGTATGTATTTATAATACCTATCATAAAACTTTGTAAATCATTTTTGTAAATATTTAGTTATCTAGGTGTAGTATTTTTTATAAGCACTAGTTTTAAGTTGTTACATATATTATACTTATTCTCTGTATATATGTTGATTAAACTGTACAGTCAACATCAAAAGTCGATGACAAAATATATTTGAAAAAAAAAACGGTAAATACCGTTTCGCAAGTAACTCAATAAAGTTGGCTCTTGATTTACACTAATATTGCATAAGGTCTGCATTTGTTGGATATATGCAGTAACATACCGTCGTTGTGCAACGAAAATTTATCAACTACAAAAAACAGATTCTGACAATAATCGCGTTTGAATATTTTTTTTTTTTTTTACGTAAAAATATAGCTATATTTTTTTTTTACGTAAAGATATAGCTTCCAAATGCTATCAAAAACATTTGTAGGAAGAAAACATAGCTTACAATTTAATAAAACTACGTGTAATGAATGAAATTCAACAGCTGTTTATTTGTTTAAACTAAAATTTAAAAAAAATTTACTTAATTAGTTTTCGCGGAGAAAGGTTCAGTAGAATTGGTACTTAGGTACTTATTGACATTCTGTAATTTTAAAGATATGAAGAAAAAAATTGCTTATATTGTTTAAAATAGGGTAGATTATTGTGTTTCAAACCAAATGGGGCGAAAAAATAGGTTTCGCCATAAATGTTAGTTATTTTTCTTTACACAATGACGATATATGTATGTTATTTATAATTTTAAAAACTTTTAACATGTTCATCAACGTTTAATGCTGACCGTACCATCTGAATGCAAACAATAAATAATCTAAAAAGAGTGCCTTATAGAGTGATGACTGTCGAATCTATGTAAAAAATATCGTTAATCGATATACAAAGAAAAATATACTGCAAAAGGGAATATGCATGTTTTTTAATCAATGGCAAAATTAAAAAAAAAAATTATATAGTGTAATACCATAGTATTTTTTAAGTTATGTTTTTGCAAATAAAATTGCAACAGGGAACGGTTTCCTTCATCCAATGCAAAGGAATCGATGCAACGTAATCAAAATTACTTGTACATATTTTTATACTATTGCTAATATAGGATATAGCTTTCCGAAGGCGGTGGGTAATCTTTGACGTACATTTTTACCCGTTATAAAAATAAAAATCATATATTTGACACACAGGAAATTTATTTCCTTTGTAGAGAAAATAGGCTTTATCTGATTTACTACTGACTAAAACTACATACAAAATTGTTCGAGAATGCTCTTTAATGTACACGCACACTAATACATATCTTTTTGACTAATTTATTTTTACAAATAAAATGGAAAATTCGTCCCTACAATATTCTAAAATGTATTTAGTATTTAATTGTAAAGTTATTGTAACTTTTCGTTTCTACATAATACGATTGCATTTGTTCTGAATCTGTGTATTTATTTTATATCCCATTATGGTCCTAGTTGATAACTATACGATTGCTTAACCACCACCGCTTACCACCGACACCATTGTTTGTAGTTATCACAGAAAATGTAGTGCTGTTTTATAATTGCATTGCATTTTTATTTATGAATAATCATGAATGTTTTAGTTAAAATAAATGCAACAAAAAATACATTGTTGTCACAAAATGAGAATATATTATTTGTCATGACGCAAGACTGAAGCCGTATCTGAACACGGTACTGTCATAATGAAAATGAACAATGACTTCATACAATTTTTACAATGTACACCTGTGTACATATTCTGTTCAATATAAATACATTTGTATAAATACAATTGTGCTAACCAATGTTACTCTTGTACTTTTCCTTCGCCTCATATCCTGTTCCATGTTCCAATTTTGAATTTGGCGCGTACAGCTGCCAACAGCGAGAGGCGCGCCACAGTCACGCAGGTAACAGACATGGCGTCGCGCTATTCATTATGGCAACCGATGTAAAGCACGTACACGACGAGATAATATGGATATGTCCATTCTAAAAATATAAAAGAAAATTTTTAGCCACTGCATTTTTTTAATTACTGAAAGATTTGTGGTCTGCAGTCATCTGATTCTCAATTGTTATAATGTTAGAATTGATATGGATTTTATATTAATTTAATCACAAGTATTTTTAATTTGTTATATTTTGAGGATTTTATTGCTAGGTTCGGAATGTTAGATCTGTTAAAAAGGACCTGAAAAGGATTTTTTAAAATATGTAATTTACAAAATTAAATACAATGATTATCACAAATATGTATTTAGCATTTTATAGTCAATAGTAGTATTCCTGAACAGTCAGTCTACAACCAGGTTTCGTTCACGAGTATGACGAATGACCCGGCAAAATTCTATTCTATGATAAGTATTACGAGTCTAGAAGATTAAAGCTCATTGGTTCAATGGCAGTAATGGGTACCCATTATATTACTGCTGTTCCGTTACCAAAATGTTACAGGGGATTCAGAAAGTTCAGTGATTTTCAATCATTTTAGAAATTTTAGAAAAATAGGGGTTCCTATTGAAATTTAAGATGTTCTAATTTCTAGCTTTTTCTTCGTGAGAGTCAGACAAAAATAACAAAATATACTGAATATGGAAATCTTGGTATTCTGCATGGGTTCCCTATAACCGTAAATATTCAAAAAATGTTCCGAAAGAAATTGTCATAATTTGGATAATAAAAATTCGTGAAATTGTAGAGAATATCCATAATTCTTTCTATGCGCAACTTTTTATCAGCGATTTATTATCAACCCGCTGCTCTTACGTAACATGAACCTGTGTCGATATTGCTATCTTTGTTGCACTCGCGGTGCGCTCGCGACTCCACTGCGCCGACGCGAGCACTGCTCTGTTTGTTAGAGGGAGACACAAGATATTGCATTAAATTTCGATCCTATTCTGTAATGTTTTGTCCAATCGCGTCCAATCTTTACGTGTTCCGGTTCTTTGTCATCAATGGGTTGCCGGACTAGTCCATTTTATGTGCTTTTCAAATTCATTTTTCGCAATATTTCAGGCGGTTTCGGATTAATTAGATGAACTGACAGAACCTTTACGACTTTCCCATTGTGTTACGCATAATTCTTTTGACGAAAGTGCAGTATTTGAAACGATGGCATATACGCCCTTCTGAGGCCGGCAAGCCGCGGCCACTTCAGCTGACTCGTCGTCGTGACGTCGTACGCAAGGCTACTCTATCTAAACTAGTAGTAGTCCGGTGATCGACTGAGGCGGTCGAGTGCGGCATTGCGGAAGTGATATGCGGATATGTCGTTGAGGGTTAAAATGTTATTGGAACGATTCCCATAAACGCGAGCGCGACTGTATCGCGGCCGGGTGAGTTTAGTATCGCGCTAGAAATCGTAAAGAGTCGTGCGAACGGAGGGCGCAGCGCTAACGTAGCGAGTGCCGCGGCGGAGGACCGGACCGAGCCGAGGCTCAATAATGCTCAAGTTCCTGACTCACAAGCTGCGGACGCATTCGTTGAATGAGGAGAACGTTTCCGAGAAGGTGGGTGTCGCCGCGAGCCCCGAATCGGCTTCGCGAAACGAAGGTCACACCGCTACCAGAAAATGGCCGCCTCGCGCGAGAACAAAGGAGCGGAACGATCGCCGGGCTCGCCACCGCTGGTCGTTCCTCTTCACCCTGAACCTCGTGCCCTACGAGCCTCTTTATTGGCCTCAGTACGACGAGGCGCAGCAACTGGAGCGGTGTTTCGCGACCGACAAAAATACTAGGATTGTTGATGCGATGGCCGGCGGACGATTGATCGGCTCTTGGTTGGTTGTTGCAGGTGGAGGAGCGGGACTCCGGCACTGAGTCTGACGACGAGGCGGACCGCGAGCCCGGTGAGTGCCGCGCGGGGGCCGGCTGCCGGCTGCCGGCTGCCGGCTGCCGGCTGCCGGCTGCCGGCCGGTGTCGCCCGAGCGGCCGCGCCGGCCGGCATCTCGGCTCGTGCTGCGCTACTCTCGTTTTTCCCTATTCTTGTTTGATTAATACCGTTCCTTACATATCTATTTGTCATTAATTAATGAGGTGAAACGATGAAAGAATACGTGCCTACATAAGTTATTGTGTCTAACATAGTAATTTTTGAGAATACGTTTGAATGCGTCTCAAATGTTTCCGATTACTTCTTTTTTATAGATCGTACGGAAATTAAGTAAATCAAAACTACATACTTATGATATTTAGTAGATAGGTAGGTAGTTCGTATAGATGATAAATACCCATAACATTTCCCCCATCCTATCGACGTAGTGGCCGAGTGCCTCGTGTGTTTAGCTATATAGGTGCCCAATTCAAGGTCACACGAGAGCAACATCAGCGTCGATACTTATTCAGACACCAGTTTGGCCATTTGCAGTCAATCTAGTGTTTAGTAACATTATTACTGACTCGCTTCATATACTAAACAATTCTATTACGATTGTTAAATGACCTTATTGTGATTAATGCTTAATTGCTTACTATCATAGGTACATAATAGTAGTGATATACTTAGGTAGGTTAAGTAGAACCGTCGTGATATTTAAATCTCAAACAGTGCTATTAACGAGTACCTATAATGTTAATTATGACAAATTATGGGCATAAATAAATAGATTTTTAGTGTCATTAGCATATTCCACCGGTTTTAGTCACGTAGGTAAGTATTTATGTTTATCTATACTCATGTAGGTACATACATAGTACAGTATAGTAGTCTCACGGTATTGTTTAATTAGAGATAGTGGGGGAAAGGGATTGTTAGCAATTGGGAGGTTAATCTCCATTGCTATCAATATACCTTATCAGGTCGACCTCCATGCGGTTCCCCCTGGAAACCATCGTGACTAATTTATCGTTGAATTCGTCACGATGGGCTAACTGACCTGCTTTCATACTCATCTATCATCCCTCACTGGTGCCCCGCCGGTGTATACCAATGTCGCAGGCGGGGATACCATTCCATTTTCACCCATCAAAAAAATTATAGATAGTTGGGGGGGGGGGGGGGGGAAGATTTTTATTAATGGGATCTAACAACTTCATTGCTAGCTCGATAGCGTTTACCGATAATGCAGGCGGGGACATTTTTAGCCATAAAAAAAATCGGAGCCCCAAAAGGCAGTTGGTACCCACTTATGTGTGATACCAATTATAATGCGTCCGTCGCGCTTTGCTTATAAACCGGAACGATTGTTTATTCCTGAGGCTGGAGCGATAAGTGTGTGTTCATTTGACCTTGATGTGTGACCTTGAACTTTTTATCGATGTCCAACAATACTGAATACCTTGATAAGGGGACATACAGGACAGGCTGGCCTGTAGATAGCGGGGATAAGGATCCATCTGCTTCTGTCATACTCACTCATTGTGTGTAGGCACTTACAAATATCCTGGCTGGTATTTAAGGCGTTTCTTTACAAGTCATTGATATCTAAATACATATAATTGGAGGGAAAGGGATTGTTAGTAATGGAGACTGAGAATCCCATTGCTAGTAATATATCCAACCAGGTCGACCTCCTCGCGGTTCCCCCTGGAAACTATCATGGTTAATTCTTGATGAATTTATCATGATGGGCTAACTGGTCTGTTTTCATTCTCATCTTTCACCCTTCACTTTTGCTTCGCCAGCGTATCCCGTTTATTTTTTTTTTTTAAACTTTGTTTTCTTTCGCCCCGCCTGCACTAACGGGATACGCTGGCGGAGCACCAGTGAAGGGTGATAGATGAGAATGAAAACAGGCCAGTTAGCCCATCATGATGAATTCATCAGGAATTAACCATGATAGTTTCCAGGGGAACCGCGAGGAGGTCGACCTGGTTGAGTATATTGCTAGCAATGGGATTCTCAGTCTCCATTATTAACAATCCCTTTCCCCCTCGCGTGTGGTTTGGCCTAACAAGGTATATTGGGGGAAGTTGTATTGTTAGTAATGGGGTCAAATAGCCCCATTGCTAGCAATATCCCCTATCAGGTCGACCTCTACGTGGTTCCGCCTGGTAATCATTGTGATTAATTCTAGTTGAATTCGTTAGGTTGAGCTAACTGACCTGTTTTCATATCTCACTGGTGCTTCGCCAGTGTATACCGATAGCGCAGGCGGGGACACCGTACCTTTATCATCCATTAAGAAAAAAAAACAGGCTATATTGCTAATAATGGAGCCGTTTGTCCCCACTACTAACAGTAACAGTCCCTCTTTCCCAGTCTAGGTAGGTATTATGCTGACTTCGTATCTGTTTCTGCTTGAAATAAACGAAATTTCGTCGATCGATATCGCTGCACCCAGCTGACATTTAATTTATACGACCACTTGTGGCTGTGTGGCTATACAATTATTGTTATTCAAGCGTCACTTGACTTGGTTTTTTTTTTTTTATTGGATGAAAATGGAATGGTAACTCCGCCTGCGCTAACGGGATACGCTGGCGGAGCACCAGTGAAGGGTGATAGATGAGAATGAAAACAGGCCAGTTAGCCCATCATGATGAATTCATCAGGAATAAATCATGATAGTTTCCAGGGGGAACCGCGAGGAGGTCGACCTGGTTGGGTATATTGCTAGCAATGGGATTCTCAGTCTTCATTACTAACAATCCCTTTCCCAACCAGCCTGCAGACTGTTAACGTTCAAGATTTTATATATTTATTTAGGCACATCGTTAATACAAATACATACATTGACTACATGCTCATTAAAAACGATATGTTTGTATGTATGTAATATTTGTATTAATCGACTGTTGAGTTTCTTGCGGGCTCTTCTCAATAGATAACAACTTTCTAAACCCTGCAGTTTAAAAAATGACGATCTAAAAGTTCTTGTAAACAATTTTTTTTTTATACAACTTAGAATGGCAAACAAGCTGACGGCCCACCTGATGGAAAGTGGTAACCGTCGCCTATAGACATGAGCAGTACCGTGGACATAACAGAGTGTACTGTTTCGCCCGTGATACTCCCCATGCATTGCCATTCCTGAGGACTCAGGCGTTGTTCCTCTGTACCCAGTAAATTCACGCCATATCCCACCCTTCAAACCGAAACACAGCCATGCAAACACAACTGCTTCACGGTTGAAACGCGAATGGGACAGAGGTACCCAAGCAAACGACCTTTGTACAAAGTCTCCCTCTGGTTTTCTGTTTACATCTGACAGAATAATGAGGTAACAAAAAAATACGTCATAGAAAATCTCCTTCTATTTGAAGTCGGTTGCAAATGATTGTCACTTATTTCGGCAGGCGTGTAAAGCCGTTGACCAGTATGCTATATCCGATACCTTCGTACATAACAAAGGCGGCCTAGAAACTTGACACTAGAGGGCGCCACCCTCACACGAAACAGAATTGCACTTACAAAATTAATCCAATTAACACATATCATCATCGTGTCAGCCCTTAACTGTCCACTGCTGAACATAAGCCTCCCCCTTGGGGGGGGGGGGGGGGGAGTATTGCCAGTATTTGCGACGCTTGGTAGGCGGATTGGCAACCGCAGTCAGACTTTAGAGATGTTTTAAGAGGGACGCTGCTGCCCATCCCTCGCCCTCCCTTAGTCGGCTCTTACGACACCCACGGGATAGGAAGTGGTGGCCTATTCTATGCCGGGACCACACGGCTAATGAACACATATAATTCGCAAATTTACAAAAGTTTTATACCATTAATATTATTTTTCGGTTCATTCAAAATTTTGTAAATTATGATGAAACGATCACAATGTCATCTTTCAAACCGGTATTATCTTTTATCTATGTCGAACAAATAGGATAAGCAGAGAGAGACTTTGTACAAAAGTCGATTGCTTGGGCACCTCTGTCCTATTCGTGTTTCTACCGTGAAGCAGTTGTGTTTGCATGGCTGTGTTTCGGTTTAAAGGGTAGGATATGGCGTGAATTTACGGGGTACAGAGGAATAACACCTGAATCCTCAGGAATGGCAACGCATGGGGGGTATCATGGGCGAAACAGTATACTCTGTTATGTTTATGGTACTGCTCATGTCTATAGGCGACGGTTACCACTTTCCATCAGGTGGGCCGTCAGCTTGTTTGTCATTCTGAGTTGTATAAAAAAAAAGGATAAGCAGAGATATCCATATTGACCACTTCGGGCTTTGTAGTTTCCTTTTAATCCGCAATGACATATGCTTACTAATTCCAAAAGATAAGTGGCAAATTGTACCAGAAAAACTAGAATAGACTTGAGACACAAAACATAAGATGAAGGACTGTATACTTCATCTTAGATCTGCAAGTCCATTACAATTTTTTTTTAAATCTGACGAAACAAAAGCAGAACAGAAAACTGCTTGCATTTATATTATAAAGCCTTTGACGTAGATAGATATATAATTTATTTACATTACAGCACACAAATAACAACATACATACACAGTAACAAAAGATAAAAGAGTACGAAAAGAGATACGAAAAAAAAAAATACATTTTACAGTCTTTACGATAACTGCATGTGAATCAATGCGATTTGTTGTAAGGTTCTAAAACTATTTCCAACTAGCCGTATACAGCGGTTTCATCCACGTATACCAGTAAGTACATAAAATAGCCGGCAGAATATAAAGTATATAAGTGTATATAATGAGTAGGGATACATATTTTACATTATTACATGTATTATACCTCTATATTGAGAAATAATAGAATTTCATCGTGCCTCCGATCAAACTGTTTATAATTACTCCTCTCCATCCAAAGGTTGCCTGGAAGAGATTCCTTTTAGCGATAAGGTCGCCCATTGTTTTCTCATTGTTATTATTTCTTGTAATTATTTATATTTATAATAAGTTTACTATTGTAACCTTTTGGAGGAAACAATAAAGAGTATCTATCTAT